ATCTTACCTTATCGAAATTTTAGCTTAATTAATTAAATGAATTTTTTGTAACTTTTTTCTTCAATAATAATCCCAAAAATATAACTTTTGAGTATTGAGTCTTTTAAACGAACCTTGAAAATCTACGTTGGCCAAAGGAAAAATAAACATTAATTAATAAATAAAAGTCGATAGGATAAGTGTTTGAATGTGTTAAAAAATTTTATAAAACTTGAAAAAAAATTAGTTTAAGACACAGTTAAATCTACAGCAAATTGAATTCACGAAACATAAAGTTTGTATCACTAGACAAGTTTTTAAAAAAAAGTTCCATCAATTCGATTAATAGTTTCCGAAAGTTTTTAAGCTATGTACGTAAAAATTAATTTTTCTGATAAATACACTAATTTATAAATAAGCGTAAGCAATTTGATATTGTATAATATAGTGATCAACTGTTTGGCAACTCTTCGGGTGAAATAGCCATTTTTCTATCAGAAAAAATAAATAAATAAAAAAATAGAAACAAACATTTTTGCTGTATATAAATTTTATTTTTTTTAAAAAAAAAGAATAAAACTGTTAGAAAACTTATATGCTACGTTCCTGGTTTAAGCGCGACTACGTCGCGCAGATACCCTAATTAGGGTTGTGTTACATAAAGTACCAGGTTTACAAAATTTCGGCCTGCATTATTGCATCAATTAATTTGAATGTACGATCCGAAACGTAATTTCTAAATTTGATATCAGAAACTAAATATCGTGTGTTCAAAATTACAATTACATGAAATTTCAATTTACCGAATCTTACACATAGGGTTGGCATTACATAAATTACATTTTACGTTACATGAAATTACATTGTAACTTACGAAATTGTAATGTAACTTTACATTAAATAGTGCATTGTCACGTGAAAATTGCGCCAGCGTTAAATAAGTTTTGCCGGCATTAATAGTTATCCGTCATTATGTTCGGAACTGTAATTTTATACTTACTTTGATGCCAGATTTATAAAAGTTTTGGCCAAAATTATTCGCATGATCAAAATTACATGTAATTTTGATTTCTGAAACTTTCACCGATTTACGTAAAATTACGTAAAATTACGGTAATTTGCCAACCCTACTTACACAGGCTTACGCAAAATTACGTAAAATTACTGTAATTTAACAACCCTAGTCTTGGTCCATGACATCAAATGATGCAATAATGCTGGCCAAACTTTTTGTAAATCTGGTACTTTATGTATGACGTGTGAAAAATTACATAAAATTTTAACTTAGATAAAAATTACATGTAATGTAAAATTGTATTTATGTAACACATCACTAACCGCAGCCGCTATTAAATGAAAATTTGTTCCTGGCCAAGTTTACTATAGTGCGGGCTTATTTTTTATTTTTGTAATGAAAAAATCAAAAGTTAATTCCGGCCGGAAATTAGTAAACAAATTTGTAATGCGGGCCAAAATTTTGCAGATCACGACCGTTAGTCAATCAAAATCGAGGATCTGAGCTATGCGTTTTTCATTCGAAACCTTATTTACTTGAAATATAGCACCTATCGCTATATGATGTTCAACACCAATGGTTCATTTTAATAAACCATATATATATGCGTGTTAAATATTTCAAAATTCTAATTACCCAAAACTGCTTTGAAATTTTAAAAAATATTTTTTTGCGAAATTTTAGTGTAAACCAACCCCAAAGCTAACCTGACTCTAATCTTAAACCGGGTTAATTTTTTGTCTTGAAATTTATACAGTATGTTATATAAATTTGCAAATCAATAAATTAGTACCCGTGTATAAACACTACGTGTAAATAAATTTTTTTTGCGAATTAAACATGCTAAAATTAGTTACTAGATCAGCATAACAAGTTGTACCGGTAAAATTAAACCATTAGTAATTATAAAAATAAAGATTTGATCAAAAACAATTTTTGATTTGAAAAATGTGTATATAAACCCCGGAGAAAGTAGCCACGAGCTTCGTTCTAATATCAATGAATTAACATGTGACTATAATGTTTTATTAAAGAAAAATTAACGGAAAATTCTCAAAATTTCCGAATATAGTTTATTCTCAAAATTTGCATTATTGCAGTATTGAAGATCCGGGGTTAATATTAACATGAAACTTCACATAGCGATAGTTAAATATGAATGAGGCTTAATGACTTAATTCGGCAGCAATTTTATATAGAAGTCATGCAACACAGCAGATTAAAGCAGTCTTCTTGGGTGGCTAAATTTTACCGAAACCGTACTGTGATGCTAAGAAAATTTGAATGTAGGGGCTTAGCAGCTAGCACCTTTTTGTACTGTATTTGTATAAAATTACCATATGGATGATCACAGCCTCGTCTTTGTCAACATAAACCAATCAAGGCTAATTCCGATAGGTGAAATTTCGTGTGACTTCCACATGCTGCGGTGTAAGTATAAACCACATTTATCACGTGAATAATTTCCTTTTTGTGATTACTGGCTAAAGGGGTTATAGCCATATAAATATACTGGTCAGGTCAGCAAATCATCCTCCAATCCAACACTTATCATTACAATTTAACATTCTCGTTTGACTCTCAACTTCTTATTGGACTAGAAACGACCAATACCAACACAAGCAGGTAAACTAAAGCAGACCACTAAGTAAACTCCTAAAGTGAAGCTTTTGAAAATTTTTTCTTGAACCAGTTGTCGGAGTTTTCAAAGCAAAACGTTGAACCATTCATACTTACCTTTACAATACCATTGACCTTTTCATTATATTAACCACTTTCTTGTTAACGTAATGCAGCCCCCTACCATCATACCACCATTTAAACCAATTTCTTATTTAGTACTCAGTGAGCATCGTTGTAATAAATGGATATAAAGGAGCAACCTAGTGAAAAAAGTGAGGGACCTACAGAGGCACCATCTAATAACCAACAAGAGACTGAACAACAGCAACAGAACCCACAAGAGCAACAACATGCACAGTATGATATTGCAGCTTCCTACGCAAATCTTACTCATACGAATGCAGTAGTTGTTGATCCGGTAAGTTCTTATTGGCGATAGTTTTTTTGTTAGAAAAACTTATTTAACTTAAAATCTTTTATAATCCTTTATTAATTATTATTAATTACTAAATATTATGTAGGCCCTTCAATCTGATCCGACAAAAACATCAGGTGCTTTCCAAAGTGTTGCTTACAGCCAACCGTACGGCCTGGTAAATAAAATAAAATAAATATTTCATGATAATTTATGTTAAATATGTGAAAATATAAAATATAAATTGGCTAAATATGTTTTTAATACAATATTTTATAGATTATGAGCCCTGCGAACCCGTTTGTTCTTGGTGCCACCAGTACTCCCCCTACTGCATCATCAGGCATCGAAGAACAAGAAGAACCGCTCTATGTGAATGCTAAACAAGTAAAATATAATTTTATTTCTTTATATTTTGGATGAAATAGATTTTAAAAATTTTACTTATTAGAGATTTACATTCGTTTATAAATAGTATCACCGAATTTTGAAAAGACGAGCGGCTAGAGCAAAATTGGAAGCAGAAAATAAAATACAGAGGGGTCGAAAGGTTCGAGAATTTTCAATTATTTTATTCTTTTACAAAAATGATTAACTTTGTTACTAAACAATTTTCCCACCCGTTTTCGTGTAACAGAAATATCTCCACGAATCTCGTCACAAGCACGCAATGCGTCGACCTCGTGGGCCGGGTGGTCGCTTCCTCACCGCAGCTGAAATTGCGGAAATGGAACGACAAGAAAAGAAGGATAATGAAAATAATTCTTCACAGACACAAGAATCTCAACAAAATGGTTCTGGACCAGAATCTTTAACACACATCTTAACAGAGAATGGTGTAAAACAGGAGTTACGTAAATGAGATCAATTTATTTGAAGATCTATTGATAGCTAAAAAGGCATGAAGTTTTGTTCAACTTTCCACTTAATGTTGCAGCTGAAAAGTTTTGTACACTGCACTAAAAAATTATCGTCATTATTTCATTTTTCATTAGATAGGATTATTTTATTTTTATTTTCTTATTTTTTTTTTCTTATTTTTGATTTCGGGTTGGGGTTTAATATTTTCCGAATTTTTAGTTTATCAAAGTTTACACACATTTTTCATCGCATAGACATTTTCATATTTGGAGGTGCTACCTTTGCTTGATCTAATGTTGCATTAAAATGTCACACAATTTTTTTTTTATTTTTAATTTTTTTTTTTTTCTGAAGCAAAATAAAAAAAAAAAAGTTATGTGTGTCATTTACTTTCTGCACCTTGTACTATCTATTAATCAATAATACATATAAACAGACTGTTATAGCATGGGCATTTTTTTCTTATAGCCAATAGGCATTTATAATAAGTTACACGGAAACATATGTGCATTCCCATAAGCCTTCATTCTTATTTGGAAATGACTTTCTCCCAAGCATTATTGAAATTTGGTTGTTGTTAAAAAGATTTCTAATAATTGAATGGGTGTGCTTTGAAGATCATTAGATTATGAAAAGGAAATTTTAGAAATCTTTAAGAATGAGTTGTATAACTCATAAATTACATGTATGTCATAATGTTGACTGTGTGTGACTATAAATCATAAAATAACTGAAAATCTAAAACTACTGATTGCTCCTACCCATTTAACAAGTCTGCATTGAATAAAAAAATCGTCGCTCCTTCATAGTCCGTATTACTTTGGAATTGCTATTCCCAGATTTTACACACGATTTTTGTGTTTCGGGGGTTCATTGACCTACTAAATAATTTCATTTATTTTAAATCAATAAATCAAATATATACTACATACCAATAAATTTGGTAATTGGTTCGTCTCCTTTTTACCCCCGAGAGAAAGCGTTATCCTTCCCGAACGACTACCAAAACAAAAAAATTTTTTTATTCCTTGCTCATTTTAAATTTTAATGGAGGTAGTCAAATTAAATCTTAGGTCTGAGAAAAGTACTCCTCTACTTCGTGAAGTAGCTAGACACGTCGCACGCGCTAAACGGTGTATTATAATTACGGGTGCCGGTATTTCCTGTAGTGGTGGAATACCTGTAAGTAACCCTTGACTAATTTAGATGAAATTAAATTTCTTCTCGGGATTTTCAACGCGTTTTTCGTTAGTTAAGTTAGTTAGCCTTAACCTTTAGTGGTAATAGGCTTAATTTTTAAACTATATTTCCCCTTTTTTTCCTTATAATTTTTATTACCAATAGGATTTTAGTAGTTCAGACGGTCTCTATAGCATGATAAGAACTCAATATCCGGGTACTTTTCGTTCAGGCAAAGATTTATTTGACGCTGGCTTACTTAGAACTCACGAATCTATTAAAGCATTTTATCTTTTTATGGGCGTTTTAAAAGAGTTGATTGTAAATGCTACACCTACAGCCACTCATTTTTTTATAAAAAAATTAGCTGATATGAAGAAATTAAAAAGAGTATATACACAAAATATAGATAATCTCGAAGAATTAGTTGGATTAGAAGTGGATTGGCAACTTGAAAGAGTTAAACATTGTCAAGCTCAAGTAGTTCAATTACACGGAACTATGTCGAAATTACGATGTAGCGCTTGTACAAATAATTATTCTTTTGTAACGCAGTATTGTGACGTTTTTAAGCAAGGTGAGGCGCCAAATTGTCCCGGATGTGAAAAGAGAGGTAAATATCACGAAAAAACGCGAAAGAAACGAACTTTTAATATAATAATTTGGTTTAAAAATTTTCTTTTATCAATTATATTTTAAATTGATAAATAAACGTGGATTTTGGCGAAAAAGTTGATTAATTATTAATTATTCATAATTTAAAATATAGAGGACGCTAGAATCGAACAAGGTAGACGACCACATACTATTGGACAATTGAAACCTACAGTAATTCTTTACGGTGATTCACATCCTAAGGGATTAGAAATATGTCAAATTGCCGCACAAGATCAGGATAAAGCGGATTGTTTGGTAATAATGGGAACATCATTAAGAATTCCTGGTGTAAAAGCTCTTATAAAAGACTTTGCTAGAGCTGTCCATGATCGTGAAGGTTATGTGATTTTAGTGAATGCTACAGATGTAGTTACTAAAGAATGGAATGGGTTAATTGATTATCAAATAGAAGGTACCTGCGATGAATGGGTTAAACTTGTTGACATAGAATTATCAAATATTGAAAGAACGACGGCCACGAGACTTTTGAAAAGTAAATCGGTCGAAACAAATAATAAAGAACAAGAAAAGAAAGAAAAAAAGAAGAGACGTGTTGAAGAACCATTAGATAAAAAAGGAAAAAAGACAAAAGTTAATATAGTTAAAAGAATTGAAACGAAGATTTCAAATAAAGAATTAATGGAAACGAGAGAAAGGAAGAAGAGACGTCTTAGTAATGAATCAGTCGAAAAAAGGGAAAGAAACCCGAGAATCCTCAAGGATAAAATAATCAAGAAGAAAGAAAGAAGGCCAAGGAATGTTAAACCCATACAAGCAGATATAAAAGAAAAGAAAACGAGAGTTGCCAAAAATAAACTTTTTGAAAAAAAAACGAAAAGAGGACCCTTAACGTAGATCGAGGGTCTACAATTTTATCCTAGACTGGGAGTAGCTTAAAATATGATTGATTAATCAGGGTTTAAGATATTTTGTTTTAAGTTATTTCCTGAGACAATTTTTATAAGAATACCTTTAGTTTCTTAATTATCTTTGAACGAAGAAAAATCACGTGGAGGAAAAATTTTGTGGGAAATCCAATAATATAGAAGTGTTCATAAACACGTGACCCATCTATAATAGAGGTTTTTTTTTTTTAGAGGTTTGAATCATTTTAACGTTAATACATCATTGTAAGCATTTAAGTGAATTCGAAATTAAGATTATGTTTGTAAAAAAAAAAAACATTTCTACACTACAAGATGAAAAATTGGGTAACCAATTTTTCTAAAACATTAAAATTCTCAACTATATGCTTTTGGTGACTTTTTTATGACTTTAGGTTATTAAAGTATAGTATATAGGTACTATAGACTGATGGAATAAATAACCAATAAACTAAAGTTTATTGCCGTTAATACATATCGATATCGATATAACGATAATAAAATTATGAAATTAACACTGATTTGACCAAATTTATAGAATTGGTTTGAATTTCGGTCTATCACTATCGGGCCCATAGTGAGCGTTAGATTTAAAATACTAAGTTCTAATAATACGGTATGTACACATATGCGGATTATTTAGCTTTTATTTATTAGCAAAATATCAAAATATTCATAATCCAATTCATTTCAAAAAGTTCAAGACTAAAATACTCACGCTTTAATAATATACGTATAAGAGTCGTATTATTCGTTTAATTTTTTAACCACTTTTAAATACGACAAATTTAGTTTTTTAATGACTTTTACTAACATATATTTTTTCAATAATAACTTGTTAAATTTTTTTACCTTTAAACTGAGAAATATCAAACTAATGAAAAAAGAGATTAGTAGTTGTGATTAAGATAGAGTAGGCTTTTTTTCGAAATACCGTTCTTGCATTACTATTTGTTTTTTTCCAAATAACACAAAAACCTATAAAATATCTAAGGATAATTTAATAAGCGGTTTATTTACCAATTTTACCTCGATAGGAATATAATTTCCCTTTTTTTTTTTTATCTCTTATATCATTGTAATTTTTGTACGCAAGAGATCTTGAAAATAGGATTTTGTACAACAATATTACATAACGATAAATCTATTGAAAATACACCGAATAGAATACTCATCAGTAGAATGACTGACATAAGGTTAATTATCATTTCCAAAATAAAAATCAATGGAGAATATTTTTATTCTCGTTGAATGAGACTATTGATTTGGTATTACATATCGCGTACGTACTCATTGTTATGTTTTCTCATTTTAATGATGTCGCATGTGACTAACCAAAAATGAACAAAGATAATCTTTAAAATTATGCTATATGTGTTACACTCATTCTCAGTAAGACTGTAATATCTCGTACTAGGAAAGATTTTCCATTGCCTTTAGTGCCCACAAGATAATATTAAGAACTAAAAAGGTTATAGTATAATAATTAATGTTTATAAGGTCGTCAGCTGTGCGAGTTTCTTTGTATTGTGATGCATAATGTTATTATATTTGGGTCATTTTTGCAGAGTTAGCAACGTTGCACTAAAAATATTACAAATTAGAAATGCATTTTGCTATCCAATTAATTGCATAGATGCTTGTTTCTAACACATGATTTCTCAAATAATGAAACGAATTTTAAACATGTCTTTTTAAGATAATACGTAAAAAGACAAAATTTAACGTCTAACGATTATCGAGATCCAAATGTTTTTTATTTATTTATTTATTTTTATACATATAATTTTATTTTATTTTATAAATAAATATTGTATGTTTGTATCAACTCGTGATATATTAATTATGTTAATTACTATATAACAAATCGATAAATTTTTTTTAATTATAGTACTAAATCACATGATATTAATAATGTAGTTTTATAAAATTTAAAGATTATATTATATTAAATAAAGTTGTTTAAATTAAAAATACAATAAAAATATTTACAGTACTGTATAAATACCAAATTTTTTGCTATAATATTTTGTAATATTTTAGTTGTTAAAATTGTATATATAGCTAAGTTAAATTAATTTTATTGGCTAATTTTTTTATTAAATACAGTTTAACCTCTCTATAATCACACCTTTGGGATACAAACTAGAAATTATATAGAGGTATAACTAATATTATATAGTTATATAGGTATATTAAAAATAAAATTTTGTAACTATATAGAGGTTTTATTAAAAAATACACTATTATAACCTGTACAAGACTAAAAAAATTATATATTAATTGCAACTATTTAATATATTTTTGTCATAAAGCTTTGCTTTATTGGTAAATTTTTTTTCTAGTATATGTGACTATATTAGGTATCTTTTAACTAGAGTACTAATTCTTGATTCTCTGTTTAATATAACTTCTCTTCTAATTTTTAAAATTTTATATAATAAAAACACATAATATTAACTAATCAAATTGCAGTATGAACTTTTTTGCATTTTTACAGCCAATAGAATTACTGTGTTTTTACTTTTGTGTTTTTTTAATATCCTTCTTTTACTACTTTTATGTTATGTTAAACAGAAAATTAAATTGGAGTAGCCTAAACAAAATAAATACATAATTGTATAATACTAAGTTTATCTGAATTAGGCAAGTATAAACAATACTAATTTTTTGAAAAGATGAGCCATTTTGTCTACTTTTGTTAAAAAAAATTGTAAAAGCAGTAATAGAATACAAGAAAGTAGTATTATTTAAAAAATTTTTAAAAAGTGTATATTCTTTTTTATTAAAAATAATAACAACTAGTAGACTTCTTTTCTAAAGAATGAATATATAGTACTTTCTTTCAATAAGTAATAAACTTTAAACTTGTTAGCAAATAGTTTATAAGAACTATTTTTAAACAACAAGTACTGTGTTTTTGCAATAAATAATAAACTCTGAGACTATTAACAAATAGTATATAAAAATTATCTCTAAATAATAGTTATCAACTTATAGCTTTTTTCTAACTTACAGATACTTTACTATATATATTTGTATGTTTTTTAAGTTTTTAATTTTTTTTGTATTATATATTTTTAAAATTTTAGTATAAAATAATCTTCAATAGTACTACAAAATGGCTGAATTTGGATCAGAGACCAAGATTAGAAAACTGAGCAACTAGGTTCTAAAATGGTAGAAAACACACTAGCCAAACTAATGAGTTGTTGTACTAGAGAAAAAAATATATGCTCCAAAAGTATAAACCAAGGAGATGGCATCCTTTAAGCACCTAAAGCCTGGGCAAACTGACTCTTTTGGGTTGCTGGCTGGAAGTAAGGGAGGGATCAATAAAGAATCTGAGTAAAAAGATAGTTCAAATGTGAGTATCAAAGTTGTTATAAACTGAATAAGGGTAGTGAGTATGTAATAGACACCTAATTAGGAAAGTGGTGTTTGAAAAATGTCCATAGAATAGCAGCACCCCAAAAGGTAGTATGAAATACACATATGGAATAGCAGGTTAATATGTACTAATTAAAAAGAAGTTATAAAAACATGCAGGTAAATACATGTGTAAAACATGTACCACTCTGTTAGGTTTACTTTGAGAATAGACTAGCTTAAGTTAGTAAGTCTTAAGATAGAATGCAAAATCCAAATTAGGTAAAAGCAAAATTCAGTATATGAATAGTAAGTAATATTTATAGGTTAGAGGATAACAGTAGTAATTAGAACTAAATAGTTTAAAGGATAACCTCTGTAGTTAGATGCAGGTATAGCAGATAGTGTAGAACCCTTAGTATAGCACTAACGGCTTAGACAGACCACTTAAATTAAATACCAAAAATGTATGTGTAGCTTGTTGTAATTATATTATAAAACTTTAATAAAAAGTCTTCAGGCCAAAGAGATCACCATAATACCAAAAAAAAAAATTTTAGTATAAAATACTTTTTAACTCTAATCTCTAGCTCTAACTCTAATTTTAATATTAAGTAATTTTTGTTTTTATAAATTTTATATATATAGATTTGCAAACTAAATTAATATTTGTATAATTTTTTGCCAAAAAAACTCCTTTTGATAATTCTTTGTACCAAAATTCACAATTAAACTTTTTAATAAAATAATAATAAACTATAGTCAAATAGCAAAAAAACATGTTATTTAGAGGTAGTTCTTATACATTATCTGCTAATAAACTTAGAGTTTATTACTTACTATAAAGTTGCTACTTGTTATTTAGAACAAGTTTAGGGTTTATTATCTACTAATTTAAAAGCTAGCAATATATATAGCTTTGTATTTTTTATTATTTTTACAAAAAAAAATACTTTCTTTTAAGAAAAGTTATTACCACTTGTATTTTTACTAAAATTTTCAAAAAAATAGACAAAACAGCTTATCTTTGTTAAAAGATTAGTATTGTTTACTCCTTTTATTTTTGAATAACAATATAATAAATTGCAACTATGTATTTTTGGTAAACATATTGCTACACTATATAATAAAGTTACAATCTAAACAAGTTATCTAAAACTGGCCATATAGTTAGAAAAATAAATTAAATATTAAGATATAGCTTTATATTAAAAATATATAAATACAGTCACACCCTCTAAATGCATACCCTAGAGACTAGGCATAGGTATGCACTTAGAGGGGTATACACTTATAGAATTAATTTAGATAGCCAATTAAAATCAAAGTCCAGATATATGACCAATATTTTAAAATAGAATCTTTTACCAAATCTGGTAATGCAAATATTACAAATATTAATTGAACATTCTATTTTTAGAAGACAAGAGTGTACGCAAAATAGTGCAGCATCATACAACACAAGATTATGAGTTTAATTTTTTTATTTACTGTGACACTATCATTTCTTTACATCATACCATTTTACTACTTTGAACAATAGTTTGTAAAAATTAGAAAAAAACAAGTATAGATATAATTCACAATACAAGAAACTTTTAAAAACTTGCTGTCGCTAGTAAGTGAGTTTATTTATGTCTAATTTTAGCCTATTAATGTGCTAATTACAAATTATTCTAAATATTGATTTAGATAGTTAATACTAACATATCTAATTCATACCATTGCTTATCAATATAGGCATTAATTATATCAATACAACTTAAAAATTAAATATTCTACTCTATTTCAATTTCAGTTCAATTCTGGGTTTGAGTCAAAACTTAAATTAAAATCTTATGTCAAATCTTAAAAAAAAAAGCCCTCATATTTTATTTTATTGTTCACAAACATCTCATGAAATGTGAACCTTATTTATTATCAACTCCTCATGATAACTTTACAAAAATAAAAAAAGTCTGTCTCTAATAAAGCATAACCTAATAAATCCAATAGTTTTTCTTTGAACTTACCTGATTTAAATATATTAAAAATTTTTTTTGTTCATATATCAAATTAATATCAAACTAAATAAAATGTCTATGCTTTATTTGTAAAATAACACACTATAAGACTATAAGAAAAAAAAATTAAAAATTAAATTTGCATTCTTTAAACTTGTGTTAGAGTTATAAAAAAACTTTAAAAAACTTATCCTATGCTTGATTAACTTTTTTTTTTTGTTTGAAAAAATGCCCAAAAGAATGACTTTTACTGATTTACAAAGACATAAGCTTTGCATCTATACTTGTAGCAATAAACAACCTTGATTACATTATGTTAATTGGATTGAAGAAAAGTAAAGTCTTAAAGTCAATAAAAATATAATTTCACATATTTTAAAGAAACGAATAGATAATAAACCTAGTAATTCTAAAACAAAACATCACAGAACTGTTACCTATTCAGAACTAGATCTTGCTCTCAAGAAGTTCATGCTGATTTATCAGTATCGAACAGTTTTAACTAATGCTTTACTTGTTGAAAAAGCAAAGTCACTTGCTAATGGTTTGAAAAATCTTCAAAAAGTACTAAATTTTTTTTTTTGGCTGGCTCTATAAATTTAAAAATCAAAATGGCATTTGTCTACATCAGCTTCAAGAAGAAGCTGCATTCGTTGATATAGTGGCAATTAACAACATTATGCTATCAATAAAAGATAGGTGTGCAAATTATTCTTCTGAAAGAATCTACAATGTGGATGAAACCAGGGCTTTTCTATCAGTATAAATCTTTTATTAGTAGGGTTTAGCAAGTGCTAGACATAATGCCGTTAAAACATAGTGCTTGGGTAACCGAGCACTATGTTTTAATAGCATTATGCTAAATTCTACTTAGTGTATAAGTTATCTTTTAGATTAAAATTGAATTTAAGCAAATTATATATTTGTTTTTTTTTATTGCATTACTAAGTATTATTAAAATTTATCTTTAGGTTGAAACCTGACCATATATTGGCAACTCAACAACTTTCTGAATATAAAAAAATAAGGAATGCTTCTCAATTGTATTGTGTTCAAATACTGATGGTTCTTTCAAAATAGATTTTCTTGTAATTGAAAAGTATTAAAAGCCACGCTGCTTTAAAAATATCAGAATTAGTAATTTGTCTATAAAGTACAGGAATAGTACTAAAGTCTAGATAATTATATCTCTTTTTTATAAATGGATCTTTAAATTTGATTGCCAAGTTGGTCTTAAGTATTAGGGCCAATATGTACTTTTGCTCTTAGATAACTGCCCTAGCTATATTATTAATGGTATTATTTTTTGATTTACTAATATTCTCTTTTTGCCCCAAATACAACCTTGAGAATTCAGCCTATAGATACTAGTATTATTATCCCTTAAATTGTAATGCAGACAAATTTGCCTGCGAAGATTTTTACTAATTTTTTTAACATTTAAATTTTTTAATAAAATTTTGAATATTAATTTTAGCTATATACTTACTA